GCATTCCAATCACCAGTAATGATCAATACATCTTGATTGCATGTTTGATCAATTTCAGATTGAAGAAGTTGGTAGAATTCTTCTATTTCATCCTGACTGGCTTTAGTGGTTGGTGCGTAAATTTGAATAATGGTATTAACTGGTATTCCCTGCAAACGCATGGATATTATCCTATCACAGACAGCGTTGCACCTCATGACTCATCTGGATATGTTCTTTTTGACGATGAATGCAACACCATTCCTCTTCCAGTTGTCATTCCCATCATAGTAAACCATGTGCTTGTCAGATTCAAAATGGCCAATAGCAGTGCATTTCAGCTCACTAATGCCTAAGATATCCATCTTGATGCATTCCATTTCATTTTTGACAATTTCTAATTTTCCTAGATTCATACTTTGTACATCCCATGTTTCGAGTATTAGTGGATGTTTACAGCTGTTTCTCTTCATTTTGAGTTGTGCCCCATCATCAAATGAAGGTCCCCGGGCTTTACTCCCATGGGCTTTACTCCATTTGCACCATCATGGTCAACTCTACTTTGAGGAGGCAGCTCTTCTCCAGTCGCATTTTGAGTGCCTTCCAACCTGTGTGGCTCATTTTCCAGCACTATATCTGACAGTGTTTCTCTGCTATTCATAAGGTGTTCAGTGCCTAAAAAGTTGGAAGTCGTTCGTCACTCCTTCTTGTTAGTCTGTCTTCGTCTGGAAGCTCATCTGAAACCTGTCCACCATGGGCGACACTGCTGGTATTTAAAATACCCATGGCATAGCTTCTAGAACCACAGCAACTAACAAGCCACCACAGTAGGACCAACAGACAGACGAGTAGTGGTGGACTCCGTTCTGTAGGACCACTGGAAGTCAGAAGTGACTCAATGGCAGTGGATTGGGTTTTAGTTTTAATAAGTTGTTAGAACATAAGCACTTATTAAATTGTTTGCACCTCAATCGCCAGAATGGTTAGACATTTCTTCTAGCTTAAAGAACTGTGTAAAGTTTACATAGGACGTCATGAACGAGAACGTGTAGTAGGGACTTAACTAGGCCTCTGCACATTATTGATGCCATTTAGAATGTAAAATGAAAGGTACAGGGACACCAAAGCTTTAAATCCTTTCATTCATTTCAGATTTAAAACCAAACTACAAAAACTGCTAGGATTATATTTTGCATTGCTGTATCTGCCACCTCGTTATTAAAACAAAATATAGACACTTAATAGTTCACTTAGAGGACTGTTTCCAAATTTGGTTGAAAATGTTATTGATGGCTCCTGTTTATATAAAACAGTTGTCCAGTGTCGTGAAATCAAAAACTCCAGGAAAGAATAGAAAAGAAATATCATTTATAACAAAGACATTATCTACCAACACTTGGACATCTGTGTGTCTATATAATATTTTTCATAAATTTATCCCTAAATTTTATTTTAAAACCATGTGAACATACATGCCACTTTACAGCCTACTCTCTAAGGGTTCAAAAATCACTAACAGGCATCTTTCTATGCCAATTGTTGTTATTGTTAAGTGGAGTCGGTTCCGACTCATAGTGACCCTGCACAGGGTTTCCGAGGCTGTAAATCTTTACGGGAGCAGAACGCCTCATCTTTCTCCCACGGAACCGCTGGTAGTTTCAAACTGCCCACCTTGAGGTTAGCAGCCGATTCGTAACCACTACACTACCAGAGCAATAAAGGAGATATATTTTTAGCATTTTTAAAGATTCACAATCATCTATCCAAAGAATGTTTCATGATTTATCTAAGCTTCTAAGCACTTCAAAAAGGGCGGTTAAAAAATTCAAACAATTAAAATCCTATTTGATAATCAGTTACAGAAAAACTAAGGGTGTTCTTCATTACCTGACTGCCAAGCATGGTCTAACAGGAGGCAGATGGTAGTTACTGGGCCTTAAATTCTAAAAGAGTAAACTTTTAATAAATGTTTTTCCATGTGTTATTTCTACCTGACCTGTATTTCCCAAACTCTTTCATTCTTCTAAGTCAGACATGGCTTTTCACATTTTTTAATTAAAAAGTCAAAGACTGAATTCTGGATTTTATTTAAATTCATCTTATTTTGAAAGGCTCTGAAAGGTGTGGTTCGGAGATGATACATTCTCCAGATGTGCTTTCAAGCTTTCACTCAAAGTGTCGTGTCTCCCTGAAGAAAGTAGGCCACTTGGGTTCCTTGTGTTAAGTGGACACTTTGGAACATATCTGCTGAGCAAAAATGCAGACTTGTACCAAAATATCCCCTGTATCTGGGATAAATGTAGATCTATTGGTACCAAAATATCCCCTGTATCTGAGATAAATGTAGATCTACTGGTCCCAAAATATCTCCAGCATCTGAGATAAATATAGATCGACTTGTACCAAACAGTCCCTGTATCGGAGATAAATGTGTATCTACTGGTCCCAAAATGTCTCAGTATCTGAGATAAATGTAGATCTGCTTATACAAAAATGCCCCCAGTATCTGAGATAAGCAGAGACAGACTTGTACCAAATATTCCCTGTATCTGAGGTAAACGTAGATCTTCTTGTACTAAAATATCCCCTGTATCTGCAATAAATGGGTATCTACTTGTCCTGAAATATTCCTTATAGCTGAGATAAGTGTAGACCTACTTGAACCAAAATATTCCACGTCTCACATAAATGCAGACCTACTTGAACTAAAATGTTCCCTGGATCTGAGATAAATGCAGATCTACTTGTACTAAAATATCCCCTGTATCTGAGATAAATGGAGATGGACTTATACCAAAAATTTCCATGTATCTGAGACAAATGTAGATCTACTTATACCAAAATGCCCCATGTCTGAGATAAATATAGATCCACTTATACCAAAATAGTCCCTATAGCCAAGATAAATGTAGATCTACTTGTACCAAGATACACCCTGCTGAGTTAAATGGGGAGCTACTTGAACAAAACATTCCCTGCATATTGCCTACCATTAGTAATTAAGTGTAGACCTACTTGCATCAAAGGATCCCCTGCTATCTGAGGTAACCAACAGGCACCTCGGTTTACAGTGTGGACGGCTGAACTACCCAGCAGCCCCGGGTGCTTGGTACTCATGCAGGTAGAGAGGAGGAGCCAGCCTTACCTTATAAGAGCAGACCCAGGAAGTCTCACTTAGCATCCCCAGAGTCAAGTTCAGGGTCCAGAGTCAATGCGACTGCAACTGTGCACAAGCCACAAAGGTCTGACACATGAAATAATCCCCAAATCACACCAACTGAGTTTTATTGCCTGACTTTCCCCATTATATATCATCTTTCATCATAGAAAGAATTATCATCTTTCATCATAGAAAGAATTGTTTTCTCTCCAAATTGTGTTAACAAAATTAAGTTCTTATGAGTACTCCAATCGAGGATATTAGGTTCTTCTAATCTTTTGCTAATAGGATTGCAATGTAATTATTTGATTTTTAGACATAACACTGAATTTCCATTAATGTTCAAAACAGGATCAACTACTTTACTAAGTGGACTATCAGACATAAATGTATGAGTGAGTATATTAATACAATTTTTCTTACAAATAAAAAGTTCCTTTAAAAATTCAGATTGCTTGTATTTATTCAAAATATATATGCTGAGAGCCTTCTACAGAGTAAAGATGAGAAGTGCTACGCTGTAAAATTGTTTGTGTTTTGGCTGACTATGAAATTCCAGTAACTGCCAGTTTAAAACCAACAGCCTTAATATTCAAGTCTAACCGACAAGAATACAGGACTACAGTTGTCTACACCTAAAAGCCACTTATCATTATTTTAAGAGTTGCTGTTTTCTGAAACTTGAAGTTTTGGTATGGCACTGTAGGATAAGCACTGGACTGCTAACCACAAGGTTGGCAATTCAAACCCACCAGCTGCTCTTGGAAACGCTATACAGGGTCGCTATGGGTCAGTATTGACTCAAAGGCACTGAAGAGCAGTTTCTACAACTCCCAAAGCCTGCACTGTTCTCTGTGGTGCTAAGCGCTCCTGCTCCACCTACCTGACCACCCCCCATGCCTTCATCAGTTCTCCACGTAAGCTTTTCCATAGGATGAGGCACTTCTCACTTTCTTTGCAGACCAATGCTAATAGGTTGTTGAAGGTGGACTTTTAGAAAAAGGGCAACCAACTATGTTCCCTTGCATCTGAAAATATTATCCAACTGTCCGAGTAGCAAAAGGCAGCTTGCTAACTGACCATGTGGCTCTCTGATTTATTGGCACCTGATGATCAGTTTTACTGCTGGGGCACCTCATCTACTGAGTTCAGTGATGGACATTTGAGCCACGAATGCTGGTGGTGGCTGTGTGTCATTCAGTTGGTTCCAAGTCACAATGACTCTATATAGGGTTTCTAATTTTGTAAATTTTTCAGAGAGCAGAAAGTCTCATCTTTCTACCACAGAGCGACTGTCAGATTTTAATGAAGGCCTTTGCAGTTAGCAGCTCAGCTCATACTCCGTTTATAGTCATTGTACAAATGGCAGCATGGCAACACCTGACCTCCTTGTCTAGCTTCACAAGGGGAAGCAGACAGAATCATTATCAACAGGAGCAGCCCAAGGCCGATTCCTAGGAGGGGGAGGCCAGACGTGCCTCCTTTCTCCAACTACTGTAACGACTTCCACACCACTTGCCCATCCCACTGCACTCTACTTCTCTGTTGGGTTTGATAATTTGTTGCAATAGCCACTCAGAACTCACAGACAACATTCATGACTGTGGGGTTTCTTTGGGAAGTAATAGCTTACAATTTAGGATCAGAAAGATCTAAGAATCTAGTTCTTCAAACAGGACAGCCCCTTCTCAACCACGCCCCTAGGCAGGCCTCTCTTTGGCCCTCAGTCCCTCAGGTCTCTTGGGCCAGGCCAACCTCTATCCTGTGTAACACTTTGGGGAAGTGTTACAAAGCTCTTAGCTCAGGTAGTAAATTCCCAGAGGCATTCCCCTCCGCAGGTCAGTGAGCCAAGTACAGGAGGCACCCCACTCCATCAGCAAGCCTCCTTCCCCAAGGCACTCAGCCCTCTCTCTCTCACTCTGTGGGCCACGAGGTTGTCTGTTCTGCTGTCTCTGCTGTTACCAGTTCTCTGCTTGTCTTTCCCACTGTCACGGGTGTCCCAGCTCTCTGTTCCCTGGGTCTAGGAGGTTCTCAGCACAGGGATCCTCAGTCCAAAGGATGCACGCTGTCCTCCCTTTTCACCTCTGAAATGGCTGGTTTTCATCTTAGTGGAACGGCGAGGTGACCATTTCTCTCCTTAGGGTTCCATATAGCTTATTTGCATATCCCCATCTCCACACCATTCTGTGCCCCGTATGTGCACCTTATCTGCATAGCCCCATGCCATCAGTTGGTGGGCGTTACAAGGCCATGACTAGAAGGTCATATGAAGGTGAGCTGTCACTCTGTAACTATCATCATAGCAGCAGCAACACTGCATTTTGGGACTTGGGTAGCAAGTGTGTCTAAAAACAGTATGGGCGGGTGTCTTCCGTCTCCATTTTACCATTTAAAATGTGAAGTATAAAATGAAAGTTGTATCTGGACTGCCAACTTCCAGGTCGGCAGTTCAAACCCAGCAGTTGCTTTGTGTGAGAAAGCTGAAGTTTTCTGGTCCAATAAAGATGGGTGCTCTTGGACATCCCATACAGGGTCTCTATGTGTCACAAATGAATTGATGGCAATGGGTATGGTTTGGTTTGGAATGTGGACATTAGCCATTTCTGGTGAAACAGAGGATAGTGAAAAAGAAGGAAGGTGTGTGTGTGTCTAATCTGGTGCCCAAAGTTTGACAATAGATCCAAATGCAGAGGTGAGATTGTGCTTACCGATCTGTGATACCACAGGAGTCTATTTGAAGATCGCTGAAGTTCCCCAGGGCACCCTGCTGAACTGCAATCAAGTCCACCATGTTGTCGTGGATGGAAAGGAGCCTCATACAGCCCTGAAACCCAGCAAGGGAACTGTCACACCGGGATCCAGAGCTGGTGTCAGGACAACCTAATAAATCAAATCAAATCAAATGCCTCATACAGCCCTGAAACCCAGCAAGGGAACTGTCACACCGGGATCCAGAGCTGGTGTCAGGACAACCTAATAAATCAAATCAAATCAAATCAAATCAGCGCAGGATGCGTCACCATGACGGGCTACGCTGGATCAGAGTGAGCGTTTGTTTCATCTTAAAGAAAAGGAGAAGAAAGTTTGATGATCATCTATATCAAAGAGCTCTCAATGACAAGTAGCAATTTCATACAGAGTTGTTTTTGTTGTTTTTTCTTTATTCTCATAAGAGCCACAGAAAGTCACAACTGTTATAAGTATTCGCAAGAATAGTAGCTAAGCTGGACCCAGAGGCTAAAACTCTATGTATGTTCGCTTCAGAATCGTTGTAGTAAAAACATGTTAGCCAGCTATATTAAATTACATATAATGTAAACAATGGAATTTCATCTTAGGGACTGCAAAGTGAGGTGTCTGAAGGATGAAAATGTGCACTGTAATTCAGGAAAGATAAATCAATAATGGTAAAAATACCTTTGTGCTTTAAGCTCACTCTTAGGAGAATAAATTACATTGGCTTGGAATAAAATAATAACTGTTTGTTTATTTTATGTTCATATGGGTAAGAGGCATCTATACAGACATTTTAATAAAGCATATGGTTTAATGCCCAAAACATTTTCCTGTTTGATTTTCTTTGTTATTTGCTTCATAAAAGGATGTTCTGTTCATTTTGGTTTTCTTCTAATATTTACTGAAGACTTTCTTCTAACTATTTAGATAATAGTTTTAAAAAGATAATATTAACCATTTTTGCCTGGCATTTAATGGTGTGTTTCTCTATCCAAGAAAAGTTTTATGGAGCATGAACACATATATGATTAATCTTCCTTTGCTGTTATGGCTGTCAACCATTATTACAATTTCAGAGACTAAGAAATGAATCAGCAACTTCTTAATTCCTGCACAATCCATGCTAGCTTTCTACCTGGGACTTGGCATTATAATGAAATGCTTTGACTGAGGACATTTTCCCTAATGCTTTGTATTCCTAATAAAATACAATTCATATGGCAAGTCAAGGCTGACATTCATATTTAAAACAAATATCAGATACACTGAAATACCCCATCTTCTACTAATGGAGACTTTGGAGTTTGAAATTTAATGTATCTAGAAAAAGTAATCAAAGATTTCTGTATCATTTCATTGTACATGATACCACACATATTTCAAATGCTTACGATCTTCTGTGGAAGGACCAACAGTTATTTTAATCTTGGTATGTTTTCTAGATGACTTATTAACCAATTACAAATGCTAGGATAAGGACTGAAGGACAATCGTTCATTAATATTTAGGGGACAACTATAATGTGCCAGGCATAGAAACACCTTTGCTAATCTCTCTTTCTTCAGGTGCTGTTTTCTGACACATCTCCAACTACTGCAGAATAAAATAAATTGTGCTCTATGCTTGTTGGGAACAAAACTAAGCAAACCCATAGTCACAAGGAAAGGTCACGAGGCTTCCACATCCTAGTTATGATAAATGAGATTCTAAGAACAAAGAAGAATTCAACTTTGGTTAGTCTCATTAGTCTAAGAATAGAAGTATTCACAGTTAATAAAACGCAACAGCACAGAAGTTCAGCACTGAACCCATTTGAAAGTTCTAAACTCTGGAGCTTTCCAGAGAATACTTAATGTGGAGTTAATGGATGGATCCATCTGTTACTAGAGACAGTCAGCTAGTGAAGTACTCGGAGACTGACCGATCAAATCTCACTCCATGGGACTGGACCAGTACTGAGATATCACGGTTACATTTCATTGTGGTGCAGACAGACCACTGGATGGCTTGTGTTCACTTTACACAAGGAGGTGCGGGGGCATGTGTATTCTGCACACAGGTCAGCATCTCCAGCTGGAGCTGTGCAGTGTGTTATTTACTAACACAAAGACTCCATATGGGGAATTTTGCAATAAGGAATTAACCCTGCCCAAAGAGAGGTGAGGAGTCCTGGTGTGGCGCTGTGGGTTAATGCGCCAGACTGCACAGCAGTTTGAACTGCAAGGTTGGCAGTTCAAGCTCACCAGCTGTTTCTTGGAAACCCTATACAGGGTCACTATGTGTTGGAACCAACTCAACAGCACTTAACAACAACAACAAAGAGAGGAGCATCTTTGCCTCTGACTTCTGAGACACAGAGCCACTAAGTCCTTGGAATATATCCTGTCTGGTTAAAACGTGATTCTTTACCTGGGGCATCAAGCTGGACAGTGGATGCTAACAACGTGATTTACAGTGATGGGTCTTGGTCCACATGGTATCTGGAGAATAAAGCCAGCCACCTGGTGGTCAGTCATGTCTATTGGACTGGGCCCCTAGATTCTAGACATCAGGGTTTGGGTATATTTCCCTGGTTGGTAACACTCCATGCATATTGTCACACATACCATAGCTGGGACAAATAACTGCTCCCAGTGGAATTCCACACTTGGTGCCTTCAGGGCACTGCCCTGTGTGTCTCCTCCCCCGGCAGATTTTCATCTGGACCTTTCACTGTAAGTAACCCATCGCATTTCAATGAATCAAACAGCACGGTAGAGGCTCTAGGAGTTCTTTTGGCAATTTATGAAACCTGAGGATCATCTTGGAGACCCCTGAATTTGCAACTGATTCCTGAATTGTGGAGACATCAAGTTATAAAGAATATGAAGGAAAATAAACCCCAAATTCAGATAGCGTTTGCTTAGGGCGAATAAGGGCTATGATACTACAGGGCTAAATGGGCTTTCAGGGATATTGGAAATCTCTTACTTCAAGAAACGCAATAACTGTCTGCTGAAAAGCAATCATGAGTAGTCTTGATAATGCATCTATATATGATGCTAATGACAGGTGAGACTGGGCATGAGAAATGTGAGCAATCTCTGAACTATTATTTTGACAACTCTTCTGTACCGAAACTATCCTAAAATTTAAAATGTTCATTTCAATAAAAAAGGTGTATACATCATGTTTCATAATAAAAACAAGTGGAATTACAATGTGCCTTTGTGAGATAGTTCACCATAAAACAACATTGCAGTATAAATAAAAACAATCGTGAGAGAACAGTTTTTACATAAAATAGTTGAATATTGGTAAAGCTGAAAATATAGGGATGCAAAAGACTTTAAGAAGAATGATTCTATTTTCGTGATTTATAAACACTTTTATCCAGCCTTTTATTTTGAATCAGCTAACAATCTGTTCTTCTAAAAAAACAAAATTAAAATAATGCACTTTTAGAGCTTTAAAATCTTTTCCCTTTGAACTGGAACCTCTTGGTTCAATTGTTTTTGAGATATGACTATTTATGAAAAGAATACAATCCTATGGGTTGCCATAATGTCAATAACATATTCTGAAAAGTTTTATGAACAACCTCATTCAGAAATAAACAAAGCTCAGTAAAGGAAGCCAGTCTGTATTTTTACATTATGGGCATCCCTCCTCCATTCACATAGGGGTAGATGTAGGCTTTTTGTTGTTTGCTTGCTTTTACAGATGACATGAGCTGATTCCTTGTACATCAATTCCTAGAAAGGAATTTGGGGAGGAATAATGATTGGGCTACTTTAACCACATTCAAGAGCGATTCCAGAAACAGCTATTAAAATGCAAAACAACAACAATAGCATTGCTACAATAAGAAGCAACTCAAGTTATAATTACAAATAAGTCTTATACTGCTGACAGTTTTACAACTTTGCATTTCTAATGGTAAAAAAAAAAAAACAAAAAAACCTCCCCAGTTTATTTTCATTTTCTAATGAGACAGGTTCATTCCACTTGCAAGGATTCCCTTTCTAGGTTCTCTCTTTCAAATACCCACCACGCAGGCAGCAAAAGCTTCCTCTGTGTATGATCTCTAAGAGACATGGCTTGGTGTTTACGCTGATGTCCTGCTTTCATAAATGTAGCCCTGCATTATTCGTTCTAACAAACACAAGGATTTGCTACAGTTAATTAAATTAAATTATTCATCCGTTGGCATAATACTGGCCTTCAGTACCCGGCAGTGCAAAAGTAATAAGGATGGGCTACAAGTGCTGATAGTGTGGCACCATAAGGTAAGCACTGGACTATGAACCACTAGGTTGACAGTTCAAACCTGCCAGCTGCTCCTCAGAAACCATATACAGGCTCACAAGGAGTCAGAACTGACTCTACAGCACTTAACGACAACAACGACAAAGGCGCTAACAAGGAGCCTTGATGGCACAGTGTGAAAAGTGTTGGGCTTCTAATCCCAAGGTAAGCGGTTCAAAACCACCAGCCACCCCAAGGGAGAAAGATAGGGCTGTTGGCTCCTGTGAAGATGTTGTCTCAGGAAGTCTAAGGAGCATCTCTCCTGTGACCTATAGGGTCACTGATGGTTTGGAATTAACTCATTGGCAGCTGGACGGGGGTGTGTGGTGGGGAAGTAAAGGTGCAAATAAGCATGATTAAGGAAATACTGCAACAAAATCAACTCACAAAGCCAGAAGGAAAAAACAAAACAAACATAAAAGGGCTGTTGGACATGAGGAAACACAACCAGGTTTAAAAATAAAACCTGAAGAGGTAGGCTACTGAAAATCAATCTTATGGAAATCACAAGCTTAAGTAAGGCTACCTAGTTGAAATGCATTTTAAGTTATAATTTGCAATACAGATTCACTGAAAAAAAGGGAGCGATTACTCCTCAGTGTTCATGTCGCTGGATCCCTGCTGGTGCAATGCTATGACTCCGCTGCTAACAGAAAGATTGCAGTTCAAGCCTACTCAGTGGTTCCTGGGGTAAAGACGTGGTGATCTGCTCATACAAAGATGACAGCCCAGAAAACCCTAAAGGGCAGTTCTACTGCGTCTACAGGCTGGATGGGAGCTCAAACCAACTCAATGCACAACAACAACATGACCAGTTCAAGAGCAAAGAAGTCAGTTCGAGGACTAAAGTGTGCCTGACCCAAGCCATGGTATTTTTAGTAGCCTCATATGCATGTGAAAGTTAGATAGCGAATAAGGAAGACCTTAGAAGAATTGGTGCATTTGAGTTATGGTGTTGAAGGAGAATATTAAAAGTACCATGAATTTCCAGAAGAACAAATAAATCTATACTGGAAGTACATTCAGGATGCTCCTTAGAAGCCCCAATGATGAGATTTCATCTCTCATATTTCAGATGTATTATCAGAAGGGACCAGTCCCTGGAGAAAGACATCATGCTCGGTAAAGTGCAAGGTCAGCAAAAAAGAGGAAGACCCCAATGACGTCACTTGGTACAGGGGCAGCAGCAATGGGCTCAAGTTTAACAATGACTGTGAGGTTGGCGTAGGACCAGGCAGCGTGTCATTCTGTTGTGCGTAAGGTCACTATAGGTGGGAAACCACTCGACGGCACCTACCAACAACTCATGGTGACTTTCCCAAGACATAAGGGGAGTGAATGCAGATATGGCTCAACTGCCCACCTGGTCTGACATGCCCCTTACCTCCAAAATAATAGGTGTCACCTGAGTAAATCTGCTCAGGCCCCAAGGAGGGAGCAGCCGAGGCCAGCTGGCCGTCCACCGTCATGCTCAGGTGATTCCGTCTGGCAGACACAGTGATGGAATGCCATTGCCCGTCATTTACTGCAGGACCTGGGAGGGGATAAGAAGCAGCTGATTGAAAACAAGCACAGCATTTGCATCTACTAATCATGAGGAAACTAAAAGGAAGAGAGGACGGGAGACAAGTGAGGCATGAGCGACCGCGATGCAGAAAATGGGTATCTTTCTCTCTGAAGGCCGTGGGTGGAAACACGTCAAATTCCCACTTCTCTGCCACCAGCACCTTTTCCTCTGACCCTGCGCACTGGAGCAGAGCCAGGGTTCACACCCTAAAGGACAGTCTTCCAGATTACCAAGTCTACTCTAGGCCTCAGATGTTAGCCACCAGCTTGGGAGACCACAGCCCCTCTGACCTCCTAGTACAGACTCGGGGTTTTTCCCACAGTCCCTCAGAATGCCAGCTGCCAGCTCCCTCCATCCCCAAAAGGTTCCTCAACCTTCTGAAGTTACCAGCTATAATCTCAGGGATCCCCACCCCCCTAGTGGTTCCCACTACTCACTTGAGTTCAGGAATATGCTGGAAGTCAGAGAATTCATCCAAAATGCTACATTTGCAACTACAGTTTTATTACAGGAAAAAGAATGCAAATCGAGAGATGCAAAGGACAAGGTCTAGGAGCATTTCCTAACTGGATCTTCCAAATCCCAAACAGGAACACAGTATGTTTCAACAACCACCTCTTGTCTATCAGTTTGTTGTACTGTGAGGACTGACATGTGGCTTGATTCTGGAAGTTACTTTAAATACCAGCAGAGTCACCCATAGTGAACAGGTCTCAGTGGAGCCACCAGATGAAGACCGACTAGGAAGAAGGAAAGGCAGACTACTTCTGAATGTTTAGTCACTGAAAACCTCATGAACTGTCACAGAATACTGTCAGGCGTAGTGCCAGAGGAGGAGGCCCTCAGGTTGGACTGGGGAAGAGTGGCCTCCTCAAAGTTGAGTGTGAATGGAGCAAAGCTTTCAAAATTTTCTTTTGCAGAAAGGGAACAACTCAAAATGACGAGAAACCACTTGAAGCATCCATTAAGAATGGGAACGTTGAAGGTATGCAGTGTGAATCTAAGAACATTGTCAGTTGTCAAAATGAAATGGAATACATAAACATCAATAGCTTAGGCATCAGTGAGCTGAACTGGACTGGTATTGACCGTTTTGAATCAGACAATCAGGAATGGTGTCATACTTATGCCAAATGAACATGTCTACAAGGAAGAGCACTTAATCCCATTATTACTCACATGTTCCCACCAACCATTAAAGCCAGTGATGATGAAATTGAAAACTTCAATGTCTTCCATCTGAAATTGATCAAACATGAAATCAAGATGCATTGATAATTACTGGTGATTTGAATATGAAAGTTGGAAACAAAGAGAAAGGCTCTGTACTTGGAATATATGGCCTTGGTGAAAGACATGGTGCTTTATTGTTGTTTCTGTACTTAAGTGTCACCAAGTTGGTTCTGATTCATAGAGACCCTGTGGTATAGGGTTTCCAAGGAGCAGCTGGTGAGTTTGAACCACTGACCTTTTGGTTCAAACTGATGAAGCATTCCAGTGCTTATCCTACAGCACCACATCAGGACTCCAGAAATGGGCTGGAGACTGCAAGACCAACAACTTATTCATTGCAAGTAAGTTTTTTGAACAACACATGGCATCACCAGATGGAATACACAGTAATGAAATTGGCTACGTCTATGGGAAAAAATGCTGCTAGAGAAGCTCAATATCAATATCTAAACAAGGCCGGGGGCAGATTGTGTAATGGACCATCAATTATTTGTATGCAATGTCTGGATGAAGTTAAAGAAAATTAAAACAAGTACACAAAGCCAAAATATAAACCTGAATATATCCACCTGACGTAGAACAGATTTGATGCATTCGACACTAATGATCAAAGATCAGAAGAGTTTTGCGATGACATAAATAGCATCATGCATGAAGAAAGCAAAAGGTAACAAAAAAGACAGGAAAGAATGACAAGACAAAAATGGATGTCAGTAGCCACAGAGGACTAGAGTGGAGAATGAAGCATCCAGCTGATAAGAAGAGAGGGCATATGCATAAGAACGTCCACACTTGCAGATGGTACCTACTTGTCCTTGCTTCGATGACTGGATGATCGGAGCTCAACCAGAAGTAAAAAGAAGAGGAAAAAAAAAAA